CATAAAATATTTCCATACACCAAATATAGTTGACCTATTGCATATAGTATTAGAAAAAAAGATCAAAACTCAAAATCTTAACTTTGACCACTGAACCATGAAAATGAGGTCAAGGTCAAATGACACCTGCCAGCTAGACATGTACACCTTACAATCATTCCATACACCAAATATAGTAGACCTATTGCATACAGTATAAGAAAAACAGACCAAAACACAAAAACTTAACTATAACCACTGAACCATGAAAATGAGGTCAAGGTCAGATGACAGCTGCCAGTTGGACATGTACACCTTACAGTCCTTCCATACACCGAATATACTTGACCTATTGCTTATAGTATCTGAGATATGGACTTGACCACCAAAACTTAACCTTGTTCACTGATCCATGAAATGAGGTCAAGGTCAAGTGAAAATGCTGACGGTCTGAGGACCTTGCAAGGTACGCACATACCAAATATAGTTATCCTACTACTTATAATAAGAGAGAATTTAACATTACAAAAAATGTTTACTTTTTTTTCAAGTAGTCACTGAACTATGAAAATGAGGTCAAGGACATTGGACATGTGACTGACGGAAACTTCCTAACATGAGGCACCCATATACAAAGTATGAAGCATCCAGGTCTTCCACCTTCTAAAATATAAAGCTTTTAAGAAGTAAGCCAATGCCACCGCCGCCAGATCACTATCCCTATGTCAAGCTTTCTGCAACAAAAGTCGCAGGCTCGACAATAGCCGCCACCGCCGGATCACTATCCCTATGTCAAGCTTTCTGCGACAAAAGTCGCAGGATCGACAAAAATGGAGAATATGTCTAATTTGGCCTTAGACGCACCTGTAAATGTGCATGCGTCCACATAAAGATACAGGATTCACATATTCAAGACAGTTTAGCAATTATACCCTAAGCATTTTGAATAAGTTCATTGCATTTGGTGGAGGCAACCTGCAGTTAGAGAACAGAAACAACAGATTGAGAGATTTTTCCATAAATAAAGGGGCATAACTCATAAATGGTAAAAGTTTTGCCACTCAATTTCAAACTTTATCTATAATTATATTTTGTGGGAATGTGCATTGTATATAAGTTTTATAATATTTGGTTGAGGCAAACTAAAGCTATATATAGAATGGAAACCAAAAAAAATCAGCAATTGTCTAGGCTAATAAAGGGCCTTATGAAAGAATAAAGTGATGACACCCAATTTCGACCATGATCTTTGTTTTGTGATAGTATGCATTTTGTTTCAGTTTTATAATATTTGGTTGAGGCAAACTAAAATGAGAGAACAGACACCATTTTTTGAATGGTCAGGACGGACAGACTGGACAAACGGACATGGGTATTACTTAATGCCCTCTTTGTTACTGCTTGGGCATAATAATAAAAAAAAACATGATCAAAGAGTTCTGTCTCATATTGTACATTAAGAGACTTATAATTCCTTTACCATAAATTTAAGAATGTATACTAGTTTCACTACTGAGAATATTGGTGCTCTCAAGAGTCTCAACTGTATATGTTGAGCAAAGAAACAATTCAGTGATTTGTTGATCGCCAGACCTGAAAGATCTATAATATTTATTACAGTGACTGACTGCAGCTTTAATTCTTACAAATTGTAGATATTTTCAAAACTTTCTCAAGAGTTACCTCCATATCTGTCTTCTCAATACAGGTAAATGACCTTCCAGGCTTTGCTGCTGTGTTCACACATTGTTTTAAATCTTTTAATTCCTTTACTGTAATAATTATAAGTTAAAAAAATAAATAGATAGCTATAAAGATATATTTCAAGGTCTTTATAATGTGACATGCAGACACTTTAAAAAAAAATAAAAAATAATAAATGTAAAGTGTAAAATTAAAATATATATGCATTTTTACTAAAGAAATTATCTATATTTCATCATTTCATGCCGTTTTTAAATAAGCAAGCAAGCAAAGAAAGATATTCAGCATTTAACATATGGGAAAATAATTGGTCAAATGATTTATTCTTTACTACAGGAAATTCAAAGCAAAAAAAAAATGTCTACTTACACAATATATTTATATGATATTAATCTAATAAGTGCAGGCTCTTTCTTAGTTAGTAAGTATCATACAGTGCCCATCTAGTTTTTAATTCAATGACATGGCTACTTTATAGTTTTTTGTAGTTTCATGAGTTATCTCCCCTGTTTTGTCAATTTGCAACAATTACCAACAAGTATTTCAAAAGAAGTAGGTTCCAATACATTGCATAACCAATTTGAATAATTTTAAAAATCATGCAAGTTGGACTATGGGTCTATAAAACAGTGCAAGTTGGGATGGAAACACTAAAGATATTTAAATTTTAATACATGTGACCATATATATAGTTTCAAAAACGTAACATACCTATTTCTTTTAACAACAAAGAGTTAGATTTACACCCATCACAACAAAACTGTGCATGTGGTAGGTTAGGGAGGGGTGCTGCTACCCTGTCATCAAAGAGGTCCTGCTGTGACCCTAGGCCTCCTTCATCAATACTATTAGTATTACTATCTTGGCTGTCCTGTTAAAAAATTAATTCTTTCAAAAATAAAACAATTTTTTTTTGTTGTTGCTTTTAATGATTTGTTCTCATACAGTTTTTTTTCTCTCCATTTTGATTGAAAGGCTATGTAAAAACTATACATTGTGTGGGTAAATTTAAGCTTTTTAACTAATTACCAGCAATGCCTTACTTAAACTTTGCTTTTTATAATAATTATCTCAGTCTGTTTTAAAAAATTACTCTGACAAAAAATATCTGTTTGGGAGGTAATAAAAAACTTTATTCAAACTTTTTTTTACTGCAACACATGTTTGTCAGACAGTGCAACCATTGTTTCTAAAGATTTTCGCCTGTAATTGCTGTAATTTCCACCACTACAACCTCACCTACAACTGTGTCCACTTGTTTATAAATTTTTACCAAAATTCATGTTATCCTTCTTTCCATTAAAATTAAAAATCGTAACAGAAATAGAATATTTGCATGTTTATAAAATTTCTAGTTCATTGTGTGGCATTGATTTTTTTTCTGGTTTTATGACGCTGAAAGATTGTTTTTTTTTACCTGAAACATGGCTTTCAATTCGAATCTTTGTCTATCTTTAATCTTTTTGTCTTCCTTTGATCTTTGGCGTCTTTGACAGAACTGTAATAATTTTGACAGAACTGTCGTCTGTATTATGACGTCATGTATAAGCAGGGTTACGTATACGTTTCAAAGAGATGCGATTTCGTTGATTACAATTATAAAGCGTTTCATCGATGTTGATGGTTGTCAATGAAGCCGCTGACATGTCTCGCAATCGGACGTCAAAATTTGAGGCACCGGATAGTTTTAAATGTGATTGTTGTGGGTACGAGACAGGAAAAAGTGCAAATTATCACCGGCATTTGGAATCTGATCGGCATCTGCGTGTACCGAATTTTTCCACCCAGGTAAACTGTGAAAATAACGAGAATGATTTATGCACGGATAGCGCTACTCAGGCTCAGCCCACTGATATGATCGTAGATGGTGCGACCGTAGACTATCAATCCAGTTACGGTCAAGATAATTACGATAAAGATTTTGAAGAAGAAGAAGATGAAGCTGTAGATGATGAGGATGAACAAGAATATTACGAGGAACGAAGCCGTGACACCAGGACAGAAACAGAGTGGTTCCCATTCGATTCCAAAACCCACTTTCTCCTCACTTCATTATACAGTTCTAAAACCCACCGAGTTGTAAGTTTACATTCTGATTGCATATCTTATTCTAGCTGTTTTCTTATATGTCTCCAATTTATGTCCAATCTTGTGTACTTGTATATATGTATTGTGATGAAAGCTCTTTATAACCTATAGGGCCCTTCAATTGTAAATAGAATATTCTTATTCTTTTTCTTAGTCTAGTCAAAGTAATTTTGTAATTTATGATGTCTAGAAACTTAGAAGGCTATTTTTTGATTTTTGCTGTTACCCCTTTCAGTTGAAGGAAGGCATCCAAAAAAAAATATGGAAAAGTCATACAAAACATTGTAATTATTTATTGTGGTCTCCCCAGGGTCTTAAGCGTCATAATATTCATTTGTATAAAATGTGATGCTATTTCAATCACTGATTTTTGCACATCTCTCTCAAAGAGGGAGTACATTTTTTATTGTCAATTAAGGTTCATGTGAACCCTTTGGATAAAATGACTGCATTATTACCTCAAAATTTACTGAGAGTACAGATTCAAACAAACCTGTGCATCTGAAAAATGCAGCCAATTTAGCCTAATGGTCCACATGAACCTTAAAGCAGCCCATATAAAAAGCATATTAATCACAATAAACATGATAATTAAATTTATTTACAAACAATTGGACTGAAACTGAATTCAAACAAGGCTCTTGGTCATAAAACTTTATTCAGTACAAGGAGTACAAAATTTGAGCTCCAACACAAAATCCAGTATTTTGATTGGTTAATTCTTGAGTCTGAGTAAAAAAATCATGCTCAAAAGTTTTATGACCGCAAGGCCAGGCCTTGAAGTCATAAAACGTTCGAGTCAGTTTTTTTGTACCCATACTCCAAAATCACCCAATCAAAATGCTGAATTTTATGTTTCGAGCATGAATATTGAGCTCCAAGCACTGAGCAAAGTTTTATGACTTAAATAAATTTCAATCCCGATATCCTGAAATTCGAAAAAAGGATTCCAAGATTAGGAAAGGGTTTATCCCGAGCTTAAAAACACCCAATCTCCTAGTCCTGATAAAGGTCCTAGGCCTATCCCCCTCATATTTATTCAAAAATGTACAACAATTGCATGTATTTAACAAACAATGATTAAACAAGAGTATGTAAATGAAGTTCAAAACTAAAGATTTCAAATGTATAATAAGAATAAAGTATTTCCAGAGTTAGTATTAAGAAGCGTTAATTTGCTTCACGTTGTGTTTTTAAAGAAGTAAAAACTTGCACCAAAAAAGGAGTGAGTAACTCTTGCGAACTGCACCTGAAGTTATGTCTTTCACTGTAATTTTATATTTTCATTTATACCATACATTTTATTTTTGTTGATGTTGCAGCCATGCAGATATACATAGATATCAATATTTGACAGTCATGTTTCACTTTTCATTTTTTTTTTTTTATTGTTCTTCAGAGTGATGAGGTAATGTCTTTTGTCATGTACATAATGAAGGAATGTGGGTGTCGTAATGTGCCTCCACTGTCCAAAATAAAGAAGTATCTTCAGACAAAAATGGAAATGGAAGATATGATCCAAAAGGTAATTCATTCATTTTAATTGTTATAAAAAAAATTATTTAAAAAAATATTCAAAAGTTTAGTTAAAAAGCAAGTAATCTGAGTTATTTATTTTATTATAATAAACTTTTTTGTATAATTTTTGTTTTGTCTGTATTTATAATATTTGTATAAACAAACATGTGAAACTGTTATAATTTTAAAAGGTAAGTCAAATAGTTTGCTTATTATGGCCCCCAAAATGAAATGGGCACACTCTTTAATGTTTGCTTAAGCTTCTTTCAACAATTTTCAATAGCAAGTTTCTTTAACAAAAACATGAGAAATAAGTTTGTCTTGTATCTAAATTTTAAAAATGTGTCCAAGGATCCCCCGCTGTCCAAGATGAATGACATGGCTTAAAATAGAACATGGGGGTAAAATGCAGTATTTATGCCCCACCTATGATACAACTGTTGGGTTGCTGTCCCTGAATTAGTGATTTTAAGGAATTTTGCTGTTTTTAGTAATATTATATCTTAAATAATAATATCTAATATCTAATAATCTATGTTATTCCACTGCATGTTGATTTTTATAGCGAAATCAACATTTGATTGGTTGAAACGTTCACACGTGACGTCGAACAAAACTTCATATTCAACTCTGAGTATCATATTCCCCTCTGAAATGTCGGGACTAAATCATGCGACGTTACGCACGGTTAATGTACATAACGTCTTGAAATTCTTATTTTTCTAAAAAGCTTTGGCAAATGTCATTATCGTGTTCAAATTTATTTCAGACGTTAAAACAAAAATACTAATTAAATAATTAATGTTTATCCGTACTGTTTATCAATACATATGTCGTGTTTAGTAATAAAAACAAGCGGATAAGAAAAAATGCCGGTATGCAAAGTTGCAAACTAATATTTGAAGTTCAGATAGTATACAAAGCTTAGGCAGTGGAATAAAACATTCCTTTCCTGTGCCTGAGGGAGATATGAAGATTTGTTTACCCAAGAATATTCATATTCAAATTTTTTTACTGTTATTTGTCACAAATGAAATAAGAGATTTGTTTTTTCAACTATATAAGTACCCGAAACCTTTATAGTATCCAATACTATTAATTATGATTTTAACCTTATTTATTTGTACATGTACAATTTTTGATTTACTTTTAGCATGAAGATAAAGATGGAAATATTTCCTGGATGATCAAGCCAACTTCAATGCTAAGGTTACAACTGGCTAATCCAGTGATTTCAAAACAGATATTCAGGTATTAAAATGTTTCATAAAGAGTGAAATTTCAGTCTTTTGCAAGATTGCTGTAATTTTGTAATTAAAGATGGTTGATTGATGCTAAATGTTTTTATATGAGGGTTGTAATGCACTTTACTGTTAGGTGTCAAACGGCCATTTTCAGCTATAAAGCATCAAATTGGTTAAAATTTTATCATGATTCGTCAAAATATTATTATCATGACTCGTCAGAGGTCTGAAATAATTATTGTTACCATCATTTTTTGGAAAAAATTTAGCACGATTTATCAAAATCATTTGAATTTTTTATTGTTTAAAAGAAATTGTACATTTTATAGTAATGCACCAACAATTTATACCGTTAACGTCATTTGGCAAATTTTTTTACCGTTATTTGTCACAAAGGTACCCCCATTACCACCCACTTATATATTTCTATGTATTCTCAGAGGAAAACCCTTTAAGGAAAAGACACTCCAGGTACTTGAAAAATATTAAGAGCGCATGTCAATATGAATTATCAATGTCAATGAAATGAGAGATTTGTTTTTCAACTACATAAGTACCCGAAACCTTTATTGCATCTCAAAAATATAACAAAATGTAGAAGAATATATTTTATAATAAAATACTCTCCATATATATATATATATAGATATCCAACTGTAGAAACAACTACTCAGTCAAACTACCAAGTGTCAGGCAGTAAGTGGAGAGAAATGGAATTTCACTGGACTATAAACAGTAAAAAACACCAATTTGTTAAAGGGCAGTTCATATCCTTTGAACTTGATGGTCAAGCAGTCTACGGCAAAATTTTGCAGTTTCTGGAAAGTGTACAGGTATTGTAATTCAAAACAGTCTAATTATTGATTCAATTCAGTTATAACATCCTTTTAACATCAGTCTTTTTCCCTTTTCTTCTCACAGCATTGTTCTTAACCATCCAAACTTTGATGCAAAGCATTTGGCAAACCTGATATACATGATATAGGGACGTTTAAAATGATATTCTGTAAAAAAAAAATATCTGATGATATTAGCAGATTTAGGTTTAAAAACGAACTAATAAATGAAAATTACATCCCTCATAAGATTATGTAAAATTTGAAACAAAATCATTAATCAAAATATGAACTATTGAATTTATTACATTTTTCCCGACTGTAATGAAAGCTTATTTATTGAGATTTGATTTGCAGTCTCCAACAAAGGGAGATAATTTAACTTAGTTACTCCTACAACAATGTTAATGTAATATCAAACAATATTTTATTTTTTTAAAAGCCAGTTTAGTTCATGTTCATGCATTTTGTTTTGAATGTTGCAGTTATAATTATTAAATTTTGTGAATCAGGGATGTTGTGAGTTGTCCTGTGACTAATGCAAAAAAAAAATTGTTGTATAATGGTATGATGCTGTTGTTTAAATTTGATAGTTGTAACTTTTGTCAGTATTGGGATGTATTTAATATTGATGTTATAAATTTCAAGATACTTGGGGCCTAAATCATTTTATTTCATTAATTTTATGTTAAATTATACATAGTTACTAAGTTAGTGTATTCATATCTTATTTTTTAGCTTAGAACTTATTCTAGATGTTTCAATATGAGTATTAAATGTAAATGCTTTCATAACTGCTGTAATTTTTAATTTGATGTTGCAGGAAGACAAATTGATGTATGCTAAAGTAGATGTGTTTATTGGCAAGGAACACAGATACATGTCTGAAATGAACATGGAAGAAAAGTATGTATATTTTTATAAGCCCGTCAATTTTTGACGGGACGTATTATGGTATACAAAAGTCCGGTGTCCGTCCGTCTGTATGTCCGGCGTAAACATGTCGCACCGTAATTTGAGAATGACTTATCCAAATTTCATGAAACTTAACATAGTTGTTTCTTATGATGGTCAAACGATCTGTATACTTTTTGGTGAAAATAAGATTAAAACTTTCTGAGTTACGGGACTTAGTAACTAAAACAGGTGTGTGTTTTTTTTCACATGTCGCGCCGTATCTCAAAAACAATTTATGATTATTGCTTAAAACTTTACACACTTCTTAGTTATTTTAATCTTAAGATCTGTATACTTTTTGGTGATGATTCAAAATTTTATTTTAGAGTTATTGAGTATTTTGTAAAAAAAGGGGGAGGGGTTTTTCACATGTCGCGCCGTATCTCAAAAACGATTTATGATTATTGCTTAAAATTTTACACACTTCTTAGTTATATGAATCTAAAGATTTGTATACTTTTTGGTTTTGATTCAAAGTTTTATTTTTGAGATATTGATTTTTTTTTTTTTAAAAGGGGGGTTTTCACATGTCGCGCCGTATCTCATAAACGATTTATGATTATTGCTTAAAATTTTACACACTTCTTAGTTATATTAATCTAAAGATCTGTATACTTTTTGGTTTTGATTCAAAATTTTATTTTAGAGATATTGAGTTTTTTGTAAAAAAAAAGGGGGGGTTTTCGCATGTTATGCCATATGTCAGAAACTATTTATGCTTATTGCATAAAAATTCACACACAAGACGACGGGCGTATCATGCACTCATGGCGCAGCTGTTTATTACTTAAGTTAGGCGATATGGTATTTAGTCCAGTCAATCTAGCATAAATTTGACACTGACCTTGAAGTAATTGCAACAGAAGTTTTAATCTTTATCATTATACCCCAAATATACACAGAAAAACATCCCATAAAATCTAACTTGAGGAAAAGTAAAAAATAATGATTTTAAAATTCCTATGGAGATTTCCATAGATATGGGAGATAACTCTGCAAAAAAGGCAGAAATGTCAATAAAAAATTGACACAAAATTATAATTTCACTGCTTCTGTTCAACAGAATGTATTGATTCTTGATATTTTAGCTGTCTTTAGAGTATAAAAACAACTCTAAAGGTTTTAATTCATATCTTTTATCAAGCTACAATGTAGATTTCATAATTCATTTATAAGAATTTTCAGCATGTCAAGGTCAATAATCTCAAATTGTATAAAACTTATAAGGCATATATTATTCTTTTTGTGATTTAAAGTTTCTTTATACAAGGTAGATGATGAACAAATATCATATACAGATATAAACAATACCAAATATTCACATTATTTTTTCAAAATTGTCACAAAGCCATAAATTTGCAATTTCTTTAATGAAAAAGGTTTTGAATTACAATTTTAAGAGAAGAGTCGTACTCTTTGAATTCTCCTTGAAAAACAAAAAGGTGTGGTTTAAGTGCCTAAATGAGACAATTCTACACAGTAATCAAATAAACAACCCTAAAACAATGTATGACCTTCAACAATGATCAAAAACCACACAGTCATAATAGAAGGCCCTTAAATGACAAATGTAAAACAATCCAAACAGGAAATTAATGGCATTGTTTTTTTAGTGCAAAAACTTCCCCCTTATGTGCATTTGCAGTTAGTACAAGCTAGTGCCAAAATTTTGAACATTAATAAATGTAAGTTTAATTGTTTTTTAGATGTTTAGTGAAGTACGGGCAACTGCATATGGTCTCGTTAGAAGAATGCAAGGTGTTTTCTATTCCAAGTGACACATCATTGATGGAGCTCATAAATGGGGAGTTGATAAACATTTCCAGAGAAGTATGTGTTTCATTGTTTAACATTTGTACATTGTTTATAGATGATAATTTGAACAGGTTAGAAATGTCATTAGTTTTATAAAGGAGTTAATTAGCTATTTTCATTGTAATTTTTTCTGCTTAAGTCAACATGTTAAGGAACTACTTATTAAATCAATGACATTTTCTATAAAGTCACATTACTATCAGTCAGGGTTTCCGCTGGTTCAATTAATTTTTTTTCGCCACCTCTTTCCCAAAAACAATATATATTTTTCGCCACTTTATAAATTTATTCGCCAAGTAACATGAATATATTATTTTTTTGCCTTCAGTTATAAAGATTCTTATTTACTCAAGTTCATTTACTTATGTTTGCATTTATGAGAAAGCTGTATTGTATTTTAAGCTCTATCAGCATCAATTGGGGATTTGCAGTGGCGGATCCAGAACTTTTCATAAAGGGGGGGGGGGGGGGGGGGGGGGATGACTGACCTAAGAGGGGGCTGCTCTAGTCATGCTTCAGTGATTCACTATATCATCAACAAAAATGTTCCCATGAAAGGGGGGGATGCCCCCCCTTCAACTTATTCAAATGCAATTTTAAACAATGGTATCATTTAAGTGAGGAATAACTTACAGTACATCTTGGGTTTTTTCAGAGAAGAGATGCAATCTTAAAGCAATCATCTTTGTACACCGGTTTACCTGTTATAACAGTGCCTTTAAACCTGTTTATGGATGATATGTCAGCCAATCAGTCCAAAAGGTGGTCACCCCTGCATGCCATCCAGGGTCAGCTTTCTGGGTTGAGTGTTGAAGAAAAAAACAGAGGAAAGAATGTGTTTTTGTTAGGTGTGGCTGATAGAATGGATATTCTTGAGCTTGTGTCTCCTATTTGCCAGGACATTGAAAATTGTAAACAGTATGTATAATTGTTTAAAGAAATTAAAATGTTGTGTCTTGTGATCTAATTCTATGCATTGTGTCAATAAGACAGGACTTGTTATGGGTAGGGTTGTTGAAATGTTCTTAAATCTATAACTTTCAATTCCACCTAACAGGTATACATGGAGTTGTGATAAGCTTAATTTAACTATCGAGTTATCCACAAACATGTGTGTATAGTAGCAGACAATGTTTTTGAAAGCTTTACTGTAATCATTTGATAACAAACAAAATTGTAATTATAATTAGATTTTTTGAAAATAAAACAAGCACAAATATATACACACGAAACTTATTTACAAATAACCAAAGTTACTACAGCTTGTCATTTACAGAGTGTGACTCCTGCAATGCCGGTCCTAACAAAACCTCTTTTCAAACTGCCATCTTCTACATTTATATGAAATGCATGCACTAACCACCAAGCATGTAATACAGTATACCCAACGGCTATTTACGATTTTACTTTAAATACAGTTCAGATTTACACGCGAGGCAATAATCATAACTATAAAACAAATTTTTGTTTACTTTTGAGAAAAAAATCACAAAAATAAATACCCGGAAACTTGTTTGAAATACACAATTTGCAAAAATAAGTGCTCATGAAAAAAAGTACATTTACAGGATATGAAGTGAAATGGAACTTTTATATACTGTATGTTATTTTTTATCTTTCAGATCAGGGATAGAAGCATTTGATGCTTCACTTAACCAAAAGGTTATACTGACAACTCACATATCCCTGATTGTTACTGACTACCATATGATGAGTTTGGCTTGCAACCATTTAAGCCCATCTGCAAATAAATATTGCCCAAAATGTAATGTAAGTATTCACAGCCACAGGTACTATTTAAAAAATCTTTTGCATCTTATAATGGTATGATGTTGTCATCGTCGTCGTCGTCAGTGTCCGAAGACGCATTTAGTTTCCGGACAATAACTTTAGTTTTAGTGAATGGATCTTTATAAATTTTTAAAAGAAGGTTCAATACCACTAAAGAAAGGTTGGGATTGATTTTGGGGGTTGTGGTCCCAATAGTTAGGGGTCAAAAAAGGGCCCAAAGAAGCATTTGTCTTTGTTTTCGCACAATAACTTAAGTATAAATAAATAGAAATCTATGATATTTCAACACAAGGTTAATGACCTCAATAGGAAGGTTAGGATTGAAAATTTGAGTTTTGGTCAGAACAGTTAAGGAATTAGGGGCCCTAAAATGGCCCAAATAAGCATTTTTCTTGGTTTTCGCACTATAACTTAATAGGAGCACCTGGTTATTTATAGAAACAAACAAAAAAACAAACCTAAAAGTTGGATGGTTGTTCATCATATTAAAAAATACTTTTTTATACCAAACATTACATTATTTAGTGAGACTTATTTGTATATCTGTAGGCAGATGGCACAGATCCTTTTAAGAAATGGGATTTGAGAACACCGGAAACAACAAAGAGGACACTGGAAAGGCTCAAATTAGTGCGAGACAAAGTCTCCTTACAAAGACAGACAGGGGTGAAATTGTACGAAAATTGTTTATGGCAATTTATGGATCCACACAGGTATGCAGCACATATGCATGTGTTTTATAAGCTTAGTATAATTTTAGGGATATCAATATGACGTATATATTCAATTTGTTGGGATGGATGGTAATTGTCTTATATAAGTAACCTGAATTAGAGTAATTTCTCACAATTTGATTGGCTGATGTTGTCCTAGTAAATTTAAGTACCATTTTTTATTATCTCAGTTGGAATAATCTCCCTTAAATTATTGATCCTACAAAAAATGTTTTTAAGTTGCTGTATAGTCCTCATATTTTTCATTTTTCACAGTTTTAGATTAGATATCTAAATTTTTTTGGTTGATATTGTCCTAATTATTGAATTTATATATATAAATTTGTAATTAAAAAAAAAGCATAAATTAAATCTGATAGGTCTATAAAATTTGTATCGATATGAACTTTATTGACTCAATTAATTCTCGTATTAAGACAATTGCACACTGTGTAACTAACACTATCACTTATGGTTTAATTTGTCTTTTTTCTCATTGGTTTATTTGGTCATGTGTTTTCCATTTCATATTTTGTATTTTTTCACTGTTTGCCATATTGACTTGATGTATTTACTATATTTAGAAATGATATATATATGCTCTTATGTTGTTTTTTTTCAGAGATACACCAGTGGGAACTTTACATTTCCTGTATTTAGGACTAGCTAAGCATTTGATTAAGGTAAATGTTTTTTTCTATTATTGGTGTTATTATTGAAGAGGCTGATTGTAATCGAAGTTTTCTTAATAGTAGGGGACATATATGAATAATTTTTAATTAAAAAAACTATAGTTAGGTGTTAATATAAGAAAGCTTTATCATATTTTAATGTTTTTTTGTGACAAATTTACCATGTTGTCAATTTTGTAAATTTGTGATTTTTTCCCGTTTTAAGTACAAATTGCATATTTTTTTTAATTTCTTTGTTATAAATGATTGAAAAAATACATATCTAAGAAATTTGAAAAGAAAAAAGGGATGTGTGATGTACATGTTTCTGGTAAAATCATTTTTTGTATCCCTCACCCATTTTCTCAAAATTTTGACTAAAAAGACTGACTTGATTGGTAATAAAATTTGAATAATTGATTACTCAAAAACTACTCATTGGAAATACCTAATTTTTTCAGAGAGTTAAGTTTGATAATAACCTTTTTTTAAATTCATTGATATTTTCCACTTGTATCACATATTTTAGAAATAATTCCAGAACGAGATTTCAACGAGACTGAAACATCAGAAGAATACATCCTTAAATTAGGATAATGGGTTTTAATTGCATTTCTAAGGGAATGTATTACATTACTGTTAATTTGGCAATGAGAAAAAAGTGTTCCTTATCATCTAAAATTTTACAAACTTTGGACAGTCTGTGTTCTCTTTGAACTTTTTTATAACGTCTTAATTCAATTTCCAAATTATGATCATTTACATGTAATTTTGTTTAAAGTTGACGAATTAGTAGAGTAACCAAGAACAGCTACCATCTCAAAAATATGTATACATTAAAGTCACTTTATAAAAATTAGAAATTAATTTTAACACTCAATCTACAGTTGTTTTTATATATTTGACAGTACTGCTTAGATACCTTAACAGAAAACCAAAAATCTTTACTGGAAAAACATTTAGAAAGTATTGACCAGTCTGACTTCAGCTATCAAATCAATAGCAGTTTCTTCAAATACTTTGATAGTAGACAGGGCAAAGACTTTAAACATTATGTGAGTACTGTAGAAATAGCTTTTCATTACAAATGAAAATAAACTCAGATCAATACAATAAAATTGAGAATGGAAATGGAGAATGTGTCAAAGAGACAATAACCTGAACAAAAACATCTTAACATTGCTGAAATAATCAGGCTTGTCTTATTTTTCCATAAGAACTGAGCTGTCCTTGCTATATCTTTGCTATTTAAAAGATGTTTATGTCAGAATATAACAATGTAAAACATTTAAGCATTATATCTGGCGTGAAATAAAGGATAGGTTATTACGTTTTAATTTGTATAACACAGACAAAAAAATAGATAGTGCAACATAACTTGATGTTACAATGAAAGCATGCAGAGTGCATCATAATACAGGCTATATACAATGCAATGTACAGTGGGATGACCATATAAATCAAGGCAGGGTGATATATTTATATGACTATTTTTTTTGTGGTCAAATAAAAGAGTATGTGGAAAGCCAACTTTGTAAACCTGCTATTGGATTTCAGCACAACAGTATGATAGTATGGTGACATCACATTGACATGCAAAACGTTTCTGTTGATTAAAAAACTATTAAATTTTATGTTTTATTTTTACATCCATTTTTTTATTATTTGTTTTATTAATTTGTTTTGCAGCTCCAAATTGCTGTTATCAATATGGAATATGCCGGATTACGTACAAAGTACATTTTGGTGTTGGAAAAACTCGCATTGGTAAGAAAGATACATGACAATATATTTCCAATTAAGTCAATTTCATTATTTTTTATTTCTTTTGACTTGATTTACTCATATTAGATTTTTTATTGCACCATTTTATAATTCTATGAAATGCACATTTGTAACATACATAATTTCTAAAAAATAAATAAACCACAGACCAACATCTATAATTGGCCATTTACATGAGAAAAAAACAAATTTTTGTTAATGCCACTTTTAAGTTTTAATATTATGATTATAACAAGGATTTTGTTTATCTGTTCTTTTTTTGTTTGTTTTTTTTTTTATTTTGGTAATAATTATCTTTTGTAGATTTCAAAGTATATTTTGCAAGGATGTTGTGTGCAAAAAATCAAATCAGAGTTTGAAGGTTATTTTCTAATTGATACAGGAAAACGTACCAGAAATCGGCACAAAAAGAAAGACCCATTTTTGTGTTCATTTGGTAAATAATAATTGTTTTTAAGGTATTTGATCCACTTGTTTATGATATTTTTGTAATCTTCTGGTTTTATCCATGTTATACCCTTAAAAAAATATTCCCTTTCCCTAACTTTTTTTTCCATTATTTTCAAACAAATTTTCAATGGCTTATTTCTCCAAAACAAGCGCACAGACGTTGAGACCCTTATTTTTTTTTTCTGCTTTTTAAATCCATTATTTCATTGCAATTAGTTTGAACGATAAATTTCATTGGACATTGACAAATATTTTGAGAGGTCAGATTTCAGGTTCTACCAGTCTGTAACTAAGAAAGCCACCATTTTCAAATCTGATTTTTTTTTTTGGGGTTTGTAATTTCTTAAAAAATAAACAAGATAGTCACATTTTGAGCATGAAAATCTTCTTTTTATCTATATTGATACCATTGAAAGCTCATTACACATATTCAAAAGCTATCATATTAATGCTAAGTATATGATAAATATATATTATCCCCTAGAATGTTAGTTGTTTTCTAAAGGTCACCATATAGTCAGAGTGAGGAAGACATCATAAATAAATAAAAGATTATTAAGTCTCATTTACAACTTCCTGAATGTTTCCCAGTTAGTATAGTTTGTATGGTGTGTATTTTCAAGTGTGTATTAAGGTGGTACTCAACACCTTGACTAATATTAATTTGGCTCGTTTAATTTTCATAAAATTTTGACAAAATGTTTACTTTGACCCTTTGACAAAAATATAAAAATTTCAAAAAATTTGAACCAACCACTTTATCAGAAAAATTTCATTGGTTATATAGCAGTTTGACAAACACTAATTTTGATCATTGAGAAGCTTAATATTTCCTTAACAATACAACGTAATTAAAACGTTTAGCTGATTTTTACAGAGTTATCTCCCTGTAGTATTAGGTACCACCTTAAAAAGACTAACTTTTTCAAAAAAATTGCTGTCTTTCAAAGGCTGATGACATGGACAGACATGGCCACTTACTCCATTATACAGAGGACAGTTTTGAAAAAAACCATAAGACAATAAGAAGCAGTATCGCACACCAAAATGGCCATGCCAGGTCAAGGGATACAGCCAGTCAGTTTGCCAACAATGAGTTGATGTGATTGCTGGAGGATTTTTTCTAAATTCTACGAAATGGTAATAGAATAATAGATTGAATAATTCCAAACAAAAACAAGATAAAAAACAATTTGTTGTTTTATAAACTCATGATATAATTTGTAGGATGAAATTTTATCGACAATTAGCACATTTTTCCTTTGATCTTACTACCTAATATTTACAATATCAAGGACAGGACTTGATACTCGAAAGTACTGGGCAATAACGTCATGCATCAGTGCAGTAACGTCACATTATCTTGTCCGCTTCAATTTATAAATAAAATGCATGCGACTTCATTCATACAGACAAACAACGAAGCCCAACATTTTGTACGCATAAAAATAGTTTTACTTATTATTTCATTTTACTTCATATTTTTTACAATAAAAACATACATTTAAGACAGACAGAGTGGCAATAAAAATGCCATTATTCTATATGTATTTTAAAGTCATATGAAACGAGTGACTGGTGAAAAATAATGTTTATCCAATTCTTAAACCAATGCATGAATATATCATAAACTTAGTCCTCTATGCACGATTTTATCATTTTTGTCTCGCCTGCGACGAAAGTCGCAGAAAGTGAGACATAGGTATTACTATACGGCGGCGGCGACGGCGGCAACGGCTGCGTAAACTATTTGTATAAAGCTTTATATTTCAGAAGGTAGAAGACCTGGATGCTTCATACTTTGTATACAGATACCTTATGTTACGAACTTTCCGTCTGTCATATGTCCAATGTCCTTGACCTTATTTTCATGGTTCAGCGACTGCTTGAAAAAAAAGTTTAGTTTTTTTGTTATGTAAATTTCTCACTTATTATGAGTAATAGGATAACTATATTTGGTATATGGGTTCCTTGCAACGTCTACATGTCCATCAGACAGGGTTCACCTGACCTCAGCCTCATTTCATAGATCAGTGATCAAGGTTAAAGTTACGTGGTTAGGTCCGTTTCTCAGATACTACAAGCAGTAGGTCAGCTATATGTGGTGTATGGAATGATTATAAGGGATACATGTCAGTCTGGCAGGTTTCATCTGATGTTAAGTTTTTGTATTTTGGTCTGTTTTTCTAATACTATAAGCCATTGGTCAAACTATATTTGGTGTATGGAATGATTGTAAGGTGTACATGTCTGTCTGGCAGGTGTCATTTGTCCTTGACCTATTTTCATGGTTCATTGGTCAATGTTAAGTTTTTGTGTTTTGGTCTGTTTTTCTTATACTGTATGCAATAGGTCTACTATATTTGGTGTATGGAATGATTGCAAGGTGTACATGTCCAACTGGCAGGTGTCATCTGAACTTGACCTCATTTTCATGGTTCAGTGGCCAAAGTTAAGTTTTTGAGTTTTGGTCTTTTTTTCTAATACTATATGCAATAGGTCAACTATATTTGGTGTATGGAAATATTTTATGATGCACATGTCAGTCTCGCAGGCTTTATTTGACCTTGACCTCATTTTCACGGTTCATTGCTCAGTGTTAAGTTTTTGTGTTTTGGTCTGTTTTTCTTAAACTATATTTTTTGTATAGGATTGTAAGCTGTATATGTCTGTCTGGCAGGTATCATCTGACCTTGATCTCATTTTGTTGGTTCATTGGTCAATGTTAAGTTTTCATGGTTAAGTTTGTTTCTTGGATACTATAAGCAATAGGTCAAGTATATTTAATGCATAGGTTGATGGTAAGGTGTATATGTCTGCCTTGCATGGTTCATCTGACCTTGACCTCATTTTCATGGTTCATTGGTCAATGTTTAGTTTTCTTGGTTAAGTCTGTTTCTTAGAAACTATAAGCAATAGGTCAACTATATTTAGTGTATTGAATGCATGTAAGGTTGATAGTTGTAGTAAAGCTCAATATTTAGGACTATCAACATAATATCAATGGTTAGTAAAGAAGGCGAGACATTTCAGCGTGTGCACTCTTGTTTACGCAAATATATCGTATAATCGTCATTTTTTTTCTTTCTGTCTGTTATGATTTAACAAATATGGCTGCTCATTAAATGCTGTGTTTTGAAGCCGAAGTTTACCGATTGTCATCTTATAGTAAACAATCAACAAAAAGCATGGGTATTGAGCAGGTGTTTAACATGTACAATCAGATAATTGTTTATTTTAATGATAGATCCATGCGTATTGCGATCACTGCATTTTTACGAGGAGGGTCATGCTAAGGTCACTATGCATACGGAAAATATGTCGGCGAATTGCTTCCTGGAAGCAAGCAATTACAAATAAGTAAACTTCTTCTAAATGTGAACAAATTAAAGAATTTTCCTCAAAAAAAAGTATATGTACATAAGTTGTTTAATGAAAACTATTCATTTAGTTATAAAAAACATATGAATATTTCATATTTCATAGGTTTCATATGACTTTAAGATCTGTCCTTGAAATCTTTGGGTGTTATACTAATCCAAGACAATGTCAGCAGTTATATATTGTCATTGATAACTTTAATATCAATCCTGACCTCTGATGAGCCCCACAAAGTCACTGTTATCATGGTATAGAAAATTTCAATAAGCTTCACCAAATACCTTTCTATCAACTCTTATAACAGTCTCTGATTACTCAATTTAAAAAAAATGGTTGTTGCAGAAAATCACTGTTTCAGTTCCAAAATTTGTCAAAAAAGAGCCTCTGGTTTCATCAGTTTAGGAACTTGAAAGTAAAAAAAAGTTGCAAATGACATTACTATTTGTTTTAATACAAATGGTCTCAAATGTCTTGGAATCGGCAGTATTAATGTAAAATAATCTGTTGGCACAACCAGGAAAAGTAACTTTATAAGGAGCATAATGATAATAACTACAATAAAATCTTTGAATAATTATAGGTCAATGTATAAACTTAATCTGGAAATCATACACATTGTAATTTTTTTTGAAGGAGTTGTGCTTCTGATTTGGTGATTAGCTATGGGAAGGACGGCAAATTATTGAAGTTTTTAGGAATGCCGAATAACCATGATAAAGGAGCAGGACTTCTAAAAAACATTGTCAATAAAAAGATGGTGAGTACTTGAATATGTTTCAGTTTTTCAATTTTTCTGTTTCATGTTTTCAGTATAATTTCACAATATCTTGTGGGTTTGACTGTGAAAAAGTCTTAACTGTAATAAAATCTAGATTTTGTAAAGATCTGTAAAGTTTTTGTGAGAAAGTCTTAACTGTAATAAAATCTAGATTTTGTAAAGATCTGTAAAGTTTTTGATATGTATAAGTTAAACGTTTGATTTTGATTTTTCACAACAATAGTAGAAAATTTTGTGTTTTATTGGTTTTTATTATTTTACTGGGTGTCTTAGTAACTATGTTTTGTGTATGGAAATATTTGACGATTTGATATTTCCTAAAGTTCTGTCACCTGTAATGATAAAGAGCAAGAATTTGGCAATGCTGATTAAGCTGTCATATGTTATATATAAAAAGACAACCAGAGCTCATCACAAGATATTTATTGCAGCAGGTACTACCTCACAATAGCACCAATAAAAGCAATAAATATATACTTTAAGCATTTAGTATTATGTGTGCCGAACTATGTATTCATACAGTAAAAACAGAATCATGTATTATTGAAATCATACAAATGTTATATAAAATGTAGATTCACCTTGTCCCATGGTTTTAGACTATTTGAAATAAACTTTATATATTTGCTCATTTTCTTTATTGAAGAGTGTTGATGACCTAGTGTACATAGAAGTACAAGTCCTACAGGCCATTTTGAATTGTGGTGGAAGTCCAAATATTATTAGCAGCAAAGATCTCACAGTGCAGGAGTTTTCAAAGGGCACAACCAAACTGGGCGAAAATGCAAGAATTGGAAGTTTCGTTTTATACCTTGATGAAGAAGAAAACGTATGTATAAAACTCTACTTTGTGTGCAACTCTGTTGAACCTTTTAAAATCTCTCAGACCGGTAGCTTCATCAAAATCACTCTAATATTTAGAATAAAAAAAAAGTTTAATCACAAGCAATTAAAAAAATAATAATGTTGTACAGCTTTATCCATCATTTTGAAATAGTGTGCACACCATATCGCTACGAGACATAAATACCATAATAATTTACACAAGTATAACTTTATGTATATCATACTTTTATCTAACATTTTTAGTTATAATTTGTACATATAAAAAGAAGATGTGGTATGATTGCCAATGCGACAACTCTTCACAAGAGACCAAAAGACACAGAAATTAACAACTATAGCTCCCCGTACTGCCCTCAACAATGAGCAAAGCCCATACCCCATATACCCCATAGCTAGTCAGCTATAAAATTGTCCAAATTTTATTTTACATATTCTGTAATGATTAGAATTGAGAATGGAAATGTGGAATATGTCAAAGGGTTAACAACCTGACCACAGAGCAGATAACAGCCGAAAGCCACCAATGGGTCTTCAACACTATGAGAAAACCCAGCACCCAAACTGGGGCTTCAGGTCTCATTATTATGTTTTTTTGTGAAACATTATTCAGTATTTCCCATAATCCATAATTGTGTCTAAAATTCCATTATGTATTTACTGTATTCATTTATTCCAACTGTTACATACTGTACACGAATTAAAAGCTTCAACAAATACAGACTGGGATATTCATTTTAAAGATCCTTTTCACCCAAAACAGGAAAAAATGATTTCATTAATTACTGTCTGAGCACATTCAACATTGATTCATTTTAACATGGCCATAAGTAAATTTTTAGAACAACTGCAATCATGTGAACAGTTTGTCTGTATATCTGCAATTTATTTTGGCTTGGGTATCAATCAGTGTTGAACTATTTTTCAATCTATTCATATATGTATAATCACATTTGTTAAGAGCAGATTGTAGTCATATTATCACTGATGTATATCTGTTTTGAAAGCATGAGCCTGTTATCATTCAGACAGATTATATTGTTGTTTTTTTAATAACTAATGTTTAATTTTATTTCACAGGCTAAAATTGGAAAAGTTACAAAATTTCTGAGGTTGATGTGGAAGGGAAATTGTCACCCGGTTGTTTTTATCCAGAAGGTGATTCCAGTTCATCATAGTAATCAAAGACTGCAATATGTAACTACAACCGAGACAACATATTTTGTAAAACTAGTTAAATTGCAATCATTAATTCACACAGTACATGACTGTAAAGGAGGAAATTGCCATCTGAAGGAAGGAAATGTAACCAAAAGAATAGAACAGGAATACAGAAGTGTCAAAAGAACACACCTAAAACACTCTACACAGCATAATGTATATATCATCAACAAATACAGATTAACACATTCTGTGGATAAATTTGTTTTTTAAATTTGGTTCTTTAGAACAACATGCAGTACCAAATCAGAATTAATTATAAAAAAGAAGATGTGGTATGACTGCCAAAAGGACAACTCGTCACAAGAGACCAAGTGACACTGACATTAACAACTGTAGGTCACCGTACAGCCTTCAACAATGAGCAAAGTAAATACCTTCATGTACAGTCATGTATTGTGTGAATAGGATATTAAAGAATAATGAATGAAAATAAAAATGTAACACATCAGCAAACGACAACCACTGAATAACAGCTGTATTTGAACTCCCTTTCTGAAATCTGACATATATATTTGTAAGCTTTTTTTCCTTTAATCGCATTAATTATTTATCCAATTTTTCAGGTTGGGTGTTTCAATGATCCTCCTTATCACCCAGTAATATCCCTTTCAAAATGCTGTAGGAAAGTTTTATATAATAGTTTATTAAGAAAAATATCTTGGAAACAATCACATTAGTCATACTAGTGATCATCTTTTAACCCTTAAAACTGTAATTGATAAAGCATTTAAATAAATAATTAAGTAAATAATTAATTTTAAGAAGTCATTCAAAACTGTTAGCAGAGACTCTTCCGCAGATTAACTTTTTAAGACTTAAACTGTCCCTCTTGTCAATTTAACAGCATTGGCTGAACTTGGTATGTATCCTGTTTTAATAAATAGAAGCCCTGAAATTGTCTATTGGCTTTTGGTTGCATGTAAAAATTGACTATAATTGTTTACTTAAGAGACATATATAATTAAAGTTTGCACATGTTGCAAGTAGGCAGAGGGTTTGCAATAACAAATTAAGAGTCATTAGCTTAATTTTTTACATGTTTTTTTGGAAAATCAAAACAATTTTTTATAGACAGTAACTTCAGTCTATTGTATACATGCAATATATACTATACTTAATGATAGATATTGGAAATATTGGAAATAAAATGTTTATTGTTATATTGATTCAATTATCTGTAATAAGGTAAGAATTCATAGATGATTTAAGGTGGCTGTCCTTCTCCATCTTGTATTTTGAAGTAGCAGATAACTATTGATCTAGATCTTTAATGAAATGAGCAAAGTTTTAAAGAAGTATGTAATTTATGTGTAAGACTTTTCAATGTTAATATAGAAAATTGTGTGTTTTATTATATTTTGGGTGTGTTTTTTATGAAAAAAATACACCAACATTATGTTTGTTTGATTCATACTTTTTCAATTTTGTCACACAAGGGGAGATAACTCAGATAAAGTGATTCATTAAAATTGAAAGTGTTGTGCATTTACCTATGTTAATATGTAGCAAGAAAACAAGTCTGGTGACCCAATTTTTTTCTTTTTATTATCTGAAAGCATGTTAATTATTAGAGCTATCCTCTCACATCTTATTTTAAAATTCTGTAGTGTAGTTTTCTTTTCACAAGCAATTGGATTTTCCATGCATAATCTGTACAAAATCTGACAATTTTTCAAAACCTGTTGTGTGAGTATATAATGGACAAAAACAAATAAACTACATTTTGACAAATTATTAAAAATTCCTAACAATTATAATTAAGATCACCCCCTTCCAATCCAGCTTAAAAACAATTACAAATAAGAATTTGCTACTGAATTCATTTCACAATTATATGTACAAAATGCATTGAAAATAGTTCTGTATTTTATAAATGAGACTGATAAAGTTGTATTCAAATTTGTATATTTTTGTACAAGGATAATTCTTGGTTTGATTTGTAGATAGAGATGTTGAAATAATTAGAATCATTGTTAAATCCATTTGTAATATGTACAAAACTAGAAATACTTTGTTTTCATAATTAATCATTTTGTTGTATATGTACCTCAGAGTGAGACCACTAAAAACATTAACAAAATATTAATGTTAAAAAAGTATCTTTTTTACCATAAGATTTTAAAGGGGATATATAGTCATACATACAAGTGCTAGTAAAAATATTGTCCTGTGAATGTGTTTAAAATATTCATTGTGAAATTTGGTTAGCATTTGTGAATTTTTGTATTTCAAACCAGTAAAATATTTATATTCTTATTCTAATTCTTCTTCAATAATTATTTTTACTTTTTGGTTGATTATGTCAAAATGGCAATAATTAGTGCATACACTTAATTATTTTAAACTGTAAATGTACAAAAGAAGATGTGGTATGATTGCCAATGAGACAACTCTCCACAAGAGACCAAAATAACACAGAAATTAACAACTATAGGTCAACGTACGGCCTTCAACAATGAGCAAAGCCCATACCGCATAGTCAGCTATAAAAGGCCCCGAAATGACAATGTAAAACAATTCAAACGAGACAACTAACGGCCTTATTTATATTAAAAAATGAACAAAAAACCAATATGTAACACATAAACAAACGACAACCACTGAATTACAGGCTCCTGACTTGGGACAGGCACATACATTATATCTGTAAGCACATTATATATAAAATTAGCCTCAGTCAGATCAAATGAATTTCAGGTGAATTTCATGTGAGTTAGGTCATGTGAAATTCACGTGAGTCAGATCACGTGAAATTTATGTGAGTGAAATCACGTGAATTTCACGTGAGTGAGTTAACGTGAATTTCACGTGAAAAAAAGTTTATGTGAAATTCACATGAATTTCACATGAGTTTCACGTTAACAAGTTCACGTTAAATTCACGTAAGTCAGATCATGTGAGTTTCACGTGAATTTCATGTGAATTTCACGTGAAAACTGTTCACGTGAAATTCACATGAAAAATTCACGTGATATTCACGTGAGCAAAAATTCACGTGAAATTCATGTGAAACTCACGTGAATTTTACGTGACTTTCACGTGAAATTCACGTGAACAAAATTTGCCTGTGTACTATACAAAACTTTCAAAAAAGCTCATTTTTAGATCACGTCTTTATTTCTTTTTTAATTCAGCTATAGTTTAACCCCAAAAAGATGTTTCGCAACCAGAATTATTTTTTGTCTGTTGATGTTAGTCAATAGGTACAAGTGTTCGTTTCAACGTTTATTTCGTCAAAAAACATCAACGGAAACTGTTTATTTTAAACTTGAAAAATATAGTTCTACAAGGCAATATTGACAATAGAGACAATGCAAGTGACTGTATCCTGTTTGCTAGACAAGAGCCTATGCACCATATTATTGCGATATATTAGCCAATTCAACTGTGTAGTTTAACATAGGAAATGACATTCACAATGAACTACGATAGGGATATCAGCACATCATCAGTAACGGTATGTAGAAGCGTTATTTTGTTATACAATACGTATCAAGAAATCATCATTTGATTGGAAACCTTAGCGACACGGAGAAATATAGTCTCACCAATTTATCTTGTTCGTTAGTGGTACCTATCATGTGTAGAACAAACAATTAGAACAATGAATTCTAATATGAAATGTTTGTTTTCGCTTTGTAAACAACACTGTGAAAATATTGAAAATTTGTCAACATATCTATTATAAGCTCAGACTCATCGATGTAGTTAATAACTAGTGTTACAATATACCTCCTAGGAAATCCATATTTAAAGCAAGCAATGGAAAACGCTTTGCCGATTTCGCAGTTGTAAAAACTGCAATGCAGAACTTTTATACCTATGCGATACAAAACAAATAGAATTCATGCAGTTGAGCTCGGTAAAATTTACCTAATCAAAATGAAATATAATTCCGCGAAATTCTATTAGTGCTTTTGGCGCATTAAGGTGCATCAAAACATGACGTCATACGAATGAAAACTCTTTAAGTGAATGTTTTTTCCGTCACGTAAATCATCAAAATTCGGATAGTATTACAATGAAATGCAGTTTTGGAGTAGATGTAGCTTCATTTTATATTATATTGCATTGCTCGAACAAGTTACTGATATCATCATGTCAACATGGCGGCTCCTTATGTGTATTTGACGGTAACCTGCGAGAAATAAATGTAAATTAAAAATGGAAAATGGTGAGGTTGAGAATAAAAAGAATTAAACACACTTTTTTTAGCTGTTATATAAGAAAGCGTTTTATTAGAAATACATGTATCCAGCTTTATCTAACGAGGTCTAAAATAGAACGGTCACATAGACGGCAAGTCCATCCACGTCTGCGACCTCATATCTGTTTAATATTTAACAGAATGGAAAGTTATCTGCTTATATCCTTTACAGCAAACACTCAAAGGCAAACAACGGAACTATAACTTTTAATGTTTAATCTTCCATTATATCCTGACAATATGCATATTTTACTATAGAAGTTCAAAATATAAAGAAAAAGATAATCATATCTAATAAGAGAAAATATTATTCAAGACGTGAGACTATCAAGTGTTGTGTCCCAAGAAGTTCAATAGATTTTGAGAAGTGTATTTTATTATAATTTACTTATGTTTGATTCCTGGTATTCTCTAAATGCATTTATCTTTTACAATATTTGTTTTCAAGAATCGTGTCACTGTTAACATTTCCTTAATATAAACCATTCCTAAATATCCACTGTTGAAGATAACCACTGCGGAGTACAGCATAACACAAGAAATGCAGTTATGAAACGTTTTATGATTATAAAGATAAGTAAACCATACAATAAATATTATAATTATAAGATATTTTATTAACCAATCATGGTGCCCAAAATTTGAGCTATACAATAAAATGAATTACAAAAAAAGCAAAGTAATTGATTTAAATGCTCAGGGGGATTATAGTATATTTTAAAGAAACATGTACACACTATAAAACCAAGTAATTCAATTATAAAAAAAGAGGTCATTGTTAAAACATAAGTAATTTGGAAGCCACTGCGACCTCATCAAGTAGTTTTCATTTGTTTTTAACTGAGAATTTAAAGTAGACTGATGTTGTGATCTTATCAGAACAGGACTTTTTAAAAAGGAAACGAAGTTCATCTTAAAATACCTTCTTACATAACTCAAACTTGTTTGTACCAGTGAGAAAAAAATGTATGTTAGTGTATAAATGAATTTCAATGTTTTCAACACTACCGTTTGTTCAAGAGAACAAAATTAGACCAAGGTAATCTTTAAACAATTGTAGAACTTTGTGTATTCCATCTACACGTTTTACAAATAACTTCACTTACTATTTTAAGTGAAAGGACAGCAGTTTCATTCGTTATATCAAACATAAGCATTCTTGAAATATTGATTACACAGTCTGTTCAGATTAAATGACTAACACATGTCTGGATTTAATTTATTTAAAAAGGCTGTAAGGCACTTGGACGACTATACATAACATTGTCTTATTTTTGCAGTATAAAGAGAAATTCTAAAACCAAATCATTTGGTTTAATTACTTCTTTTTTAAATAATCCTAGAACCTTCTTTCTTTCTCTTTAGGAATTGTTGTGACCTTGACTACACCTCATTTCTTCCATTTTATTCATGACGCTTCTTGGTTCTTCTTCTTAACTTTGAAATGCAAATCCTCAGAGAAAGAACTGTTCTTAAATTAATTCCAAGGGAAATAACTGTTCATCTGTAAATATTCTAACCATTTGATAATGGGTTAAGGTTACAGTAGTAGTTTACCAATGTTGCAACCTCACAAATAAGTCTGGAAATGTCATGGTTGATGAAATATTCATTATATCAATACGTTATTGATTTCAAAATTCTGAGTTCACTACTGATATACAATAGTACTTTCGGTAACTTTTTTTTCCCTTTTTTTATTTTGCATATTAGTTCAGTTAATCGCAACTTATTTAACTGTCATCTCTAGTTGACATAATATAACGTGTTGGATTTTACACTTCTTTTTGCAGTTTTGTTACGACTCAGGTGAACCTTAAATAAGAAAAAAAGAAACACATATAATTAACATTGACTTTGTCATTTCTCTAGTCTCGAGTCAAGCGAAACCAGTAAGTTTAGATTTTGAAACTTTGAGAAAATTGACCAACAAATAGTAGCGAAATGTCATAATACCAAGTATAACGGATATGTTTAGAGTTAAGATTGTATTTTGTGTATGATAGTTTATAGTTTTGGTGGGGTTCGTGTTGCTTATTCTTTAGTTTTCTATGCTGTGTCGTGTGTACTATTGTTTGTCTGTTTGTCTTTTTCATTTTTAGCCATGGCGTTGTCAGTTTATTTTCGATTTATGAGTTTGACTGTCCCTCTGGTATCTTTCGTCCCTCTTTTATAGAATTACATGTTCGGAGAAATATCTTTACGCGTTTCAGGGTACACATTTATAAATCATTGATATGGTCATATTTATAAATTAACTGTTTACAAAACTTTGGAATTTTTGATTTAGTAAGGCTTTTCTACCCCAAGAATAGATAACCTTATCTGTGTTTTAGGAATTTTGGTCCTCAATGCTCTTCAACTACGAACTTTTTGGGCCACGAGCGTCACTGTTTAGTCTTTTGTAGACGAAACGCGCGTCTGGCGTAAATACAAAATTTAATCCTGGTATCTATGATGAGTTTTTTTAATACTATAGCACATGTAGCATACATATGACCACACAAATATTCAACTTTGCATAAGGTATCTACATACAAATACAAAAACACTTTCGTGATTTTTTTAAATGACATTCTATTTTTGTTTTTCTATGTCATCTCCAATTGTTCTTAAATACGTTTTAGAAATTATTAATTTGTTGTGTTTTGGGACGTTGACGAGATTGCACACGTGTTTAGGAAAATACAAGATTCAGTCAAACGAGCTGGTATACCAAACAACACAAAACACTGAAATATAACTCGTTACGTCAACGATATTTGTTTTACTCAATAAAAATGATTGATTTAGATATACTTTTACTTATAATACAAGTGTCAATGAACTATGTGTTGCAATAATATAATCAACATGCTATGCTTACCTTTCGATCTGAATTGATATTTCAGTTTTTTGTATGACATTTGAACTGTATTCCACCACTCCATTTCAATCTATAAAGGAAAGAAGAACAGATCTTTGATATTTGGCGCTCGTTCATGCCTTATATGTATATAACATGCATATTGCAATATATGATGTTTGGTTGCTCTTTGTTCAATGACTACAGGAATAGGAGCTACAGCATTGTTAATTGTTTGTTCATCATAACATGATAAGGAGAATGGGTAATATTCATTCAGATTATTACTAAGTGCAAACTAGCGATACTTTAAAGTTTAATTAAAGGAACACACCCATTAGTTTGTTTTGAGATGTTCTGAATCCAGCGTGTGACCTTATTTTATTTTGATTTGAGATCTTATCAATAAAACTTACACATCAATGCATTTCCCTGATCGTTTCAGCTATCTAATAATTTGACTACAGTCTGTGAAATTAGGAATAATTCATGAAATCGAAAAGATACGAACTTAAACTTTTTTTAACTATAACATATCTTTAGACTTAACGAGTTTGCCTTTAGCACAAAAAACTGTCGACACTTTGTTAAAGGAATATAAGCTGCGTTACCAATATCATTTACACTAAAACTGTACAGATCGCTCGCATATTTATCGCTCCGTACAAAATGAAACAAATCAAGTACGCTGAATTCAATTGAACAATAATATATTTACGGTCTAAGGTTATATATGTTTGGGATTGTTTATGTTTTACAATGACCGGTTTAAAATGTTGGTACATATAGTATGACTGCATGAATGAGCAAGTGAGCTATTGCCTTCATTTTGATACAACTAGAAACAAACCGCATTGTATTTAAAAAAACAATTGTCCCTTTCTATTCCGAATTTCATATTCTAAAAAATACTCTGCTAAATTTGGGTGACACCACATTCTATCACTTTGAATATAAAATCATCTATTTGACGTACCCAAGCATAATGTAACAATAAGTGAAAGTGTTTGACAACACATCAATGTGACAATCAATTTGAACTTCCACAAATATAGCCCACTGTTCGAATTTCGACAACAACAACACTAAAATAGCAGTTCAAGATATGTCAGTTGAACATTTCCGGATGACGTGGCTTTAATGCCTCAATTTGATTCGGGAAAAAATTGGGTTTTAAGTTTATTGTGGTGATCTGTTTTTGTATATAAAATTATAGAATTTGATAAGAACAATAATGTTAGCATGTTGATAAAAATTAGCAAAAAATACCAGTACTACTGAAGAACTTATCATATAATTTACCTGTGTTGAGTTTACTTCCATGATATATACCCGTGTTATGTTGCTGTTTCTAAGTTTTTTAATCTAACACTGACGTCAATCTGGTATTCACGGCGCTGCATCACACTCAGATGAAATGTATAATAATGAACAATAATAGATTTATTGATGTACTCTAAGAGTTTGTTTTTTTTATTTTCATTTCTTTACGTGTTTCTTGGCTTAAAAACAAAAGTTCAATTTTTAAAGTAGATAAAACAAAATCAATTTTTTCGAACAGCGAGATTTGGTGAAATAAATCGATTTTATGAAACATAATCATAAACAGCAATATAAGTGAGTTCTCTCAGTTAAATATAAAACCACATGAATAAATTTTGATACTGAGAGGACAAAGTAATATATGTTTTAGAATAATGCCACATTTAAATTTGGGTTACAATTACGTACCTCTAGATCGGTCTAATAATTTCATTAATAGCAATTTCATTCGTAATAAAGGTTACTTACTTGCTTATTAAATTTTTTTGTTAAAATTTGTTACGCTATTAATAATGACAGATAAATGACCTTAGTCAATGAAATTTAAAAAAAAAAGTAATAAATGAAAGAGATTGAAGAAATAATAAGTATTTACAACATACAACAACATATATCAATATAAATACATTTTTATCAATGAAGACAATACCGATCTTAAAGAATACAAATTGTATTGTAACTTAAAAGTAATAGCATTTAATAAGCATTGGGCATGGGATGCATAGAAGCTACATTAGGGTGAAACTACACATGCACATTTGGTTAGTCAACACAACAAGACATACATGTATATATATATATATATATATATATATATATATATATACTAAATAAAAAGCTAAATATATGAAAAATTAAGAAGCAACTAGCAAATAGAAATAAACGATATAATCACATGTAGGAAAATAATAAATCATGAGATACCTTTAAAATTGTGACATAATATGTAATATATCAAATAATTGAATGATTTACTTCAATTTTCGAGTACTAGTGTTTTAGTTATGACCCTTAACAACTGAGTATAAACGGATTCCTTTTTTAAACGATTGTCTTTGTACATGTAAAACATTATATTTCGTTACGTTTATTGCATATAATCAAAATATCCTTTGTCTTTATTCCTTCAACCACAAAATGCATCCATACATTACTACACATGTTTAACGAAATTACATACAGTATCTGAATAAAGAGTTTGTGTTCATATTTAATTAAAAAAATGGTAAATACATTTTGTACTTAAAATATATAAAAACGTATGCTTCGATATCGAAATTAATCCAAATTGCATTTAGGTAACAGCACAAAAGACGTTATATATAACAATAACATTAATCATGTTAACTTTAATTTATTTATTGGTCATGTTGATGTTTAATTGCCTATATGTATTTGGTTCTCTTGAAATTACTGACTAACTTTATAACTGTGTTCACATGCATACTAACTTTCAATTAATGACACTTCACAATTATTAATCGAAAATTGTAAGTAACGAATTGTAAAGATCAAATAATGTAGATGTAAAAGATGTCACGTCAATCTCTACCTGTATACACCCACATTGCATATATTCGGATTTAAAGACTAGGAAAATGTAAGATAATCTCAAATGTATGCAATTCTTGATATAGTTGTATCATTATTAATTACTATATAATAAAATAAGTCTCTCTATGAAATAGCTTTTTGTAAAACATTTTTAGAAATAATTATTTACATACCTGACTGATTAAACACAAATATACTTTCAATCCTACTGGTATCGGTATACAGAACAGTCGGTGTGGATCCTGGTGTTTTAGCCACCATTAATAATTGTTTATTATCACCATAAAATATATTGCTTCCAAGGACACCAATAGCCATTTTGTTGCCAGCAGAATTTGTCGAAAGAATAGTTTTTACATCAGAGCCATCGAATGTAGCTGTTTTCATGTCACCATTGTCATTTATAATCCAATACAGTATTTGTTCGTCAGTGTCTACAATTTTGGAAGAAATGTTTGAAAATTTGTGTATCTATTATACTCAGAATAACCATACATTGTCTCGAAATATCAATGCTATTTTTTTACAAGGCTTAGAAAAGGGTAGAGCTGAGCATTTCTACCTGTATCGAGCCGATCACAAAAAGAAAACATTGATATTTCGAGACAATGCATGGTTATTCTTTAGATACTGCAATTTTTATAAACCATCATTTTTCAATTTAGAGTTGACGAAGTAAAATTTCTGCGAACATGTATGTTTTATTGATGTCATAAATAAAACTCTACGGAAACGCATTGTCAACGTCATAAACAAGGTGATATACGGTCATTGACTGTATATCACATATGAATATACGGTCAATGCAATTTGACTGCTCAAAGAGCACAGCTACAGTATATATTAAATATATATGTAACTGTATCGCAGTTTTGTTTGTTTTAAATCTGGTATTAACTTTACGACTGATGTATTCAGATGAACAGTGAAGTAGTGACCAAAGAAATGTTTACGATTTTTTTTAATGTTGTTTTAAATGTAAAAAAAATACATTTGATCAGCCTTATTATGTTCTATACAAAAAATAAACATCGCCATCTTATTTTTTTGTTTTTCTGTATTTTAACACCAAAAACAAATTTTAGCAGAGACTATGTAATACCTTCAAGTACATTAATAAACAGCAGAGCTTTTATTGCGGTTCTGATTTTTTACCGACATTTGTATGAGATTATTCTATTTTTCTACCAGCAGAACTGCTTCCGTTGAGGCAGGTTTGTCCGTCCATTGTTGGTACTGTTTTGTTTTTAAATTAACATATTTTACAGATAGATAGACAGTTGGACTGTCACAATTTAGCAACACTACAACAAAGCTAACTCATAACAACGTACCTATGTCCATGCAATAAACATGTGATGATACAAAGTTAACGATCGTCTCATTTTCAAGTAAATCCAATCTACACTTTAATATTCCTATATCTGTCTCAACTATATACATCCATCTCAAAGTCAAATCAAAGTTTGGGCATCTAAAACATTGAAGTTGAAGGACCAGTTTGTGTTTGTTAACATATGTGTTGTTATTATATTTGTAAACAGTTATAAGATATCTGGACAATGCCACATACGGATTATGATAAACGAAACATTCGATGACCCCTTTAATAAACGCAACAATAGTATACCGCTGTGCAGCAGTCATAAATCGAATAAGAGAAAACAAATCTAGGTTATAAACTAAAACCGAGGGAAACATATCAGCTATTAGAGGAAAACTGTGGAACTACAGAAACGTTGAACTGCAACATAAAAACAGACTTCAAATCATACATTATTTTGCTTAATTTAAAAGAGTAAATTGAGCGTACTAGGTCGACTAAAATTTTAAAAAAGTTGGAGCGTCTTATATTTTGATTTTAAGAGAAAAAAAAACTACTGTTGTATGTTGCAAAGCGTCATCGTCAAATAAGCGTAATTTTTTAACCTTAGAGAGACATATTATTTAACATAAAATGCTATCTTCGGCGAGCTTGCTTTTACATCCGAAACAAAAAACAGAGGCATAATTTCACTTTGAGTGCTACTGCCAAAGAGATGTCATGAAGACAAAATTTCTTTATCTCAATGACTCTTGATTCCAAGGAATATTTGTATTTAGCAATATGAGAATAAACTCTGATAATATCATTGCATTGTTGATTCCACAGTAACTTATAAAAATACATGAAAAATTCAAATACTGTTTTATGCATATTAAAACAAAAGAATATATTTAATGGAAACCAAAGCAATAAATCTGCAGGACATATATTAAGGCAATTATTATAAAACTTCAATTTCGTAATAAATGTGCATACCTCAGTTTTTTTCATTATATACCAGAAGATCCACGTCAAACATGTATAACAAACTAAGATGTGCATGTTATATCACTTATATAGGATAGACCAAGTCAGGAATACGACAGTTGTTGTCCATTCGTTTTTGATGTGTTTTGTCATTTGATTTTGTAATGTGATTAGGGACTTTCCGATTTTATTTTCCTCGGAGTTCAGTATTTTTGTGATTTTAATTTTAATTTTTATGTTTATATAGGTTTAACATAATCTAAGATATTTTGTAATATATGAGTTCTTGATTAGGCTCCTTTATACATAATTTAATTCATTTTCTGTTAATCAAATTAGTCATTTCCATCACATTGAATCCACATGCATTATTTGGCATTGTTTATTGTTAGTTTTGTAATAAAGTATCTTCCAACTAATTTTGTTGTAGTTCCGTAGTGATATGCGAGATAATGATACTGATAGGAATGCTCTTATAACACAATACTCCGATTTTTTACGAAGAGCAGATATATTCTAAGCTATCAATTTCTTTATACCAACGTGTGTGATTGTGCGATTTAGAGAAATCAACTTTGCGTGTGCATTAGATAGATAATTTATTCTCTAAAAAACTAAATACAAGTTTACAGAGAAACATACAATATAAATACAGATACAATAGTTGAGGTAAACAAATACAGTAAGATATTTTAAAAGTACAAAATTATGATGGCATACATGTTTAGTAACATGTTTAATTAAAGGCTGAACTCAATAGAAAGAAAAAAGATCAGTAAGATGCTTATGCGATTACATTTACATGGAGGGACAAACTTTTTGTATTAATACACTTAAAAAATAAACACAATTTTCTTAAGACAGATTGTTTTTTACTATTAAATAGTGAGCAAAATGACATAATATTTGAACTATTTGAAAATTTAGTTTTTAGAAATAATTGTTTTTCGTTCTTAAAATGAGAACAGTAAAACAAATAATGAAATTCGTCGCTTATCTCACTGGAACTACACAACTCACATGTCCTTTCATTTCGGGCAATGTTTTGCCATCTCCTCCTTTTTATAGGTAACGCATGGTTACCTGCTCTGAATCTACATAATGTAAACTATGTTTGTCTTCAAGAATAGTGAGGTAGTTTAAACATTAGATTGGTTCTAAAGACTTCAAAATGAATGTTATCGTTTGGAAAAAAATTACGGCAGGCATCATCCCAAATGTATGAGAGAATTATACCAATGTTCATTTTTAGCAACTGTACTATTTCAAATTGACCTTGACGACAATTATACCATAGTTTTATGATGTCACAACGATTTAGATTCTTTTTTAAATATCTGTTTAACCATAAATAGAGCATTTTCAGCAAAATTTGATTTCTAACTCATCTTTGGCTTTTATCTCCGAAATCTGTGTTGGCAAGATTCAATTTTGTCTATGTCGACTTCTCCCGACATGCGTCATTGCTGCTTTACAAAAATAAATTTTGCGTACATCGATTCTTGTCAATTGTCAACTTTCGAAATGGATTGCGTCTTTCTTTATGTCTGAATACGAGACTTCCAGCCTGGAAAATTAATATCGTTTTATTCTCAAGGTTAATCCATTTATTATTAGGCTTGATAAAAAGTATGTTTAGGGTGACATGTTAAAAACAAATAATGTAGTTTCTTTTTACTTCTAAAAAAATGTCAGAGAAGACGGTTGTAATAAATTCGGGGCGATTGATCCAAAATAAAGCTTAAATTTATGGCCAATTTATGTAGCATTTTTTTAATCAAGATATTAAATATTGACTACGGTTTGGCTGTTGATTTAAATACAGTTGGGTATGATTAATTCAAAATCTTAAAGATAAAAGTATAAACATTTTAACTCAATAATGTTGATTGTTAAAACAATTACTTACCCTTCGCATCAAAACAATTTCATTTTTGACTGGGAATCGTCCATGTAGGTCATGCTTAAATCTCCAATGCAGTATACTCATAGTCTGACAAATAACATTTTTTTTACCGTCATTCATAAAAATGTCCTTGTAAAATAATTTTCCGTTTGCTCCAATCCGTGAAAGTCTTTAATCATCACTGTTAAGAATTGGATCTTTTCCTTGATATCCAAATCTTCACGAATGTCTTCTTTTTCATACCATTCATATTACGATCATCTTTTTTCTTTCTGTTTTAAATATTTCGTTGGAAAGGTTATTTGACGCTCCATTACTGTCGATATATCTTGTTTTACTGATATTCGCTCCTTTTAAGAAGACTGTGATTTTTAAGAACGTGGGGGGGATTTACATGTTAGGCCCATGCCGAGGGAATATGTTTAACGAATCAAAACAAAACAAAATATATGCAAACTATCTTAACATTGAAAATTGCAATAGGTAAACACTGATATTGCTAATTAGTAGTGTTGCGGTTTTTCCTAAATTATACCATGTCTCGTGAGGAAAAACAATGTTAAAACAGGGGCTTTCAACAAAAACTATGGTATAATTTACGAAACACCGCAAAACTTTTCAAAAGATATGAAATATATTCAACATATATTGATCTTACAGAATGCCTTGTTATTTTGTAGTTTGGGGCATAGGATTTAAATATTAGGTAGAAAAAAGCTGAAACTTTCAGTTCGGACTTGATTCAGATAGTCACCTTTATTTTTTTTAAACTTTTTGCAGTGAACTTGGATTTTCATAAAACTGTACAGCTATCTCAATTATGTATTGAACATATTCTATAAGACTGAAATATCTATATGTTACTAGTTACAAACATCAATAAATATGTTTTGTTCGTTAAAAAAATTGGTTGATTTCATCACTAAAGATAGCAAAGACACGATATACACTCAACTAGTGCTTTGTTTTCAAGTTTATAAACACAACCACATCCTTAAATTTATTTTTTAGTCGTACTCATTTACAAGTATGTATCAGTCCTCTATAAATGGATATTCGTATTTGCAGGAATGATTGTTTTCATTGTATTGATGCACGAGTGTATTTGTCTTCACTCTAACAAACAGTTTATGCATTTTTTTTTTCAAATGGTTCTATGTCAAAAGACAAAAGATAACGATTAGACCATTCACATATATGATAAAGATAACATAAAGATATTGCTTACTGGAGTAAAACCTAATTGATAAAACAATGGTATACGTGTAGTTTTCGTAACAACATATATGCATCATTGCTCAATTCTAGTGACATCAAACAAATACCTGTTTGTAAGATCAAGTCATATCACAAAAGGATTACTTGGACTTGATAACACAGTCACATTGCTTCCGTCTAGATTGCATCTTGAGAGTCTGTTTATAACCTCACTAACCCAGTAGATATGATCAGTGGTTGTTTCAACAGCTATTCCTGATGGATATAAACCAGTCTGGACAACTGTCTGTAATGTTCTACTCTTTGACGGATATGCAAATCTATATAAATGATTAAATGTTATTTACATTACATAGATTCACTGATTATACCGGTCTTGTATTTAATACTAAAAACTATCCACTGTCTTGTTCATGTTGCTCGCACACACTATACTGAATGTGTTACATCATGATAGTGGCATAGTGTAAAGACATACAATGATGAATCTGTGTTTTTTTAAACAATTACCTTGAGTTTGTGCCACTGGTTTGAACGATTGTTTAAACATATATTTATCAACATATAAATGTAGGCTGCACATCGTAACCGAAATAGTTTCCATACTAGTAAAATTGATAGATTATAAGCTTGTACAGCCTAATTTCCCATTGTTTTGCTTTTTCTCAAAATCCACGTATGTAAAACTTCATTTCAAACTAATATTTCAAACTTTTATTTTAAGTTGTCAAATTTCAAGGCAAAGTTTGACAGTTGATGATGTTTTAGGAAAACGTTTTATTTGAATCTGCAAGGACTAAAAACAAAATTAATTGCAAAATTCCACATTTTTTCAGAAAATTTCATGTTCTTTTTATTATTATAATTATCATTTATATTAGTAGTAGTTGTAATAGTAGTAGTAATTGTACAAAAAAAAAAATAGTAGTATTTTTTGTATTAGGCATTTGTACTTTTCTGCCGAAAGACCTCTTATTTTTGTTCTGATTATTAGGTCTTTCCACTTTTCTGTGGAAAGACCTACTGTATTTCTTCTGATTATTAGGTCTTTCCACTTTTATATGGAAAGACCAATTGTATTTGTTCTGATTATTAGTATTATTAGGTCTTTCCACTTTTCTGTGGAAAAACCTATTGTATTTGTTCTGATTATTATTATTTATTTTTTCTTCCGCCAAATTTTGTTCTCCCATAAAATTTTTGTTTCGCAATATGTCGCTAAGATATTTCTTAATATGTAGTATCTGCGATTTTTATTTTCACCAATTCTAAGCCAAACAATTTTCTTTGTAAGAGTTATCTCCCTATTCACTGTTTATCAAATGTGTGCATCTCATTCGTAACAAAAAAAGATATCGACAAGTCTTTTTCTAAATTGTTCGTTACATCCGCAGGAATTGTTATTTAATTTGGATCGAAGCGATTCGATGAAATTTTTTACGAGGTATCTACCTTTACAAAATAAATTTGCCGGTATGTATTTTAACTCATAAACTATTAACCGTATAGACATGGAATGTTTTTATTTGAGGCCCTTAGGTCCTTATTTAGAAAATGAAGTCAAGGTCAAAGGTCAAGTTCTCAATTTTGACTTTTCCTTTTTGGGCATTTTCTCCAACACTTTTAAATATATATATAAAAGCACAAGCGCAACATGTTTGTTTTAACTCCAACATGGCTTCTTATAAAGCCATATGACCTTTTACAAAAAGGTTAGGTGACATATGACCTTGAAAAATGACAACCGGAAGTGACCTTGAGAAATCGGAAGTAGCCTTTTCGCACTTTTTTTCATGCAAAAGTACTCGGAATCCATATATTTTGCAATTTTAATACATTTCATTTTCACTATAGACTAAAAGTGACTTTCGATAAACCGGAACCGGAAGATAAATATATAAGAACAAGTGCAAAATGTTTGCTTTAATGTACTGTAGATATATAACATTTGGTTTGAAACAATCTAATGACATCTTATAGGAGTTAGTGCCCCTGAAATGTCTAATTGTAAGGTTAATTGATTATTTTTTTCAACTTGGGTCATTATATAGCCATATGACCTTTAACAAAAGGTTGCATGACATATGACCTTCAAAAATGTCAACCGGAAGTGACCTTGAGAAACCGGAAGTAGCCATTTTTGCACTTTTTTCATAGAAAAGTTCTCGGAATTCATATATTTTGTCATTTAATTCCATTTTCTCATCACTGTAAACTAGAAGTGACTTTCCATGAACCGGAAGTGGCCAATTATCTCCTGATTTACAGGCAACAGTATATAAAAACTACATATTTTTGAAATCAGTGTGAAAAATGAGATCAGAAGTGACATTTACTTCACCGGAAGTAGCACATTATATCTCTTATTTCACTCAAAAGTATATAGAAATATTTTATGTATCGCATCAGTATAAAGAAACTTATGATTGGGTCTCAATTTTAACTTTGAGCAAACCGGAACTAGCTTCTTTTCAATAATTTAAAAAAAATTATGTGGAAAGACTTTCAATGAATTGGTTTTTAATTAGGTCTTTCCACTTTTATGTGGAAAGAACTATTGCATTTGTTCTGATTGTTAGGTCTTTCCACTTTTATGTGGAAAGACCTATTGTATTTGTTCTGATTATTAAGTCTTTCCACTTTTCTGTGGAAAGACCTATTGTATTTGTTCTGATTATTATTAGGTCTTTCCACTTTTCTGTGGAAAGACCTATTGTATTTGTTCTGATTATTATTATTTTTAGGTCTTTCCACTTTTTTGTGGAAAGACCTATTGCATTTGTTCTGATTATTATTATTAATTTTTTTTCCCGCCAACTTTTGACATTTTTGTTCTGCAATAGGTCGCTTAGATATTTCTTATATTGTATCGTACAGTTTATGCGCTTGTAAATGTCACACTGCTAAGACGAACAATTTTCTTTGTAAAAGTTATCTCCCTATTCACTGTTTATCACATGTGTGCATCTCCTTCGTAACAAAAAAAGATATCGACAAAATTCTTTTTCTAAATTGTTCGTTACATCCTCAGGAATTTTTGGCTAATTTGGATAGAAGCGATTCGATAACATTTTATAGGAGTTAACTAACTTTACAAAATAAATTTGTCGGTATGTTTTTTTAACTCATAAACCTTTAACTGTTTAACCCTGGAACCTTTTTATTTGAGGTCCCTATGTCCTAACTTAGAAAATGAGGTCAAGGTCAAAGGTCAAGGTCAAGTTCTCAATTTTGACTTTTGCTTATTTTTGCATTTTCTCAAATACCTTTTAAAGTATATATAAAAGAACAAGTGCAAAATGTTTACTTTATTGTAATGAAGATATGTTACATTTGGTCTGAAACAATCCAAGGGCATCTTATAGGAGTTAATGTCCCTGAAATGTTTGATTATAAAGTTCATTGATTATTACTTCAACTTGGTTCATTATAAAGCCATATGACCGTTTACCAAAGGTTGGGTGACATATGACCTTAAAAAATGACAACCGAAAGTGACCTTGAGAAAACCGGAAGTAGCCAATTGTGCACTTTTTTCGTAAAAAAGTACTCGGAATTCATATATTTTGCTTTTGGAATACATAAACTTATTACTTAAGACTCGAAATGACTTTCGATCAACCGGAAGGCCAATTATCTCCTGGTTTTAAGGCAAAAGTATATAGAAAGTATATATTTTTGAAATCAGTGTGAATGAAGCTATCATATGAGACCGGAGGAGACATTTACTATACAATAAGTAGCAAATTATATCCCTTATTTCCCTCAAAAGTATATATAAACCACTTATGTATCGCATCAGTATAAAGTAACTAGCTTCTTTTCAAATTTTCTTTCTTGTGGAAAGACCTTCAATTGATCTCTGAACAATTGGTTTTTAATTGATGTTTTTTTCCGCCAAATTTTAATATTTGTGTTACATAATATGTCGCTTAGATATTTCTCATATTGTATCGTAGTCTATGCGCTTTTAAATTTCACCCTGCTAAGACGAACAATTTTCTTTGTAAGAATTATCTCCCTATTCACTGTTTATCAAATGTGTGCATCTCCTTCGTAACAAAAAAATATATCGACAAAATTCTTGTAACAAATTGTTCGTTAAATCCTCAGGAATTTTTGGCTAATTTGGATAGAAGCGATTCGATAACATTTTATAGGAGTTAACTAACTTTACAAAATAAATTTGTCGGTATGTTTTTTTAACTCATAAACCTTTAACTGTTTAACCCTGGAACCTTTTTATTTGAGGTCCCTATGTCCTAACTTAGAAAATGAGGTCAAGGTCAAAGGTCAAGGTCAAGTTCTCAATTTTGACTTTTGCTTATTTTTGCATTTTCTCAAATACCTTTTAAAGTATATATAAAAGAACAAGTGCAAAATGTTTACTTTATTGTAATGAAGATATGTTACATTTGGTCTGAAACAATCCAATGGCATCTTATAGGAGTTAATGTCCCTGAAATGTTTGATTATAAAGTTCATTGATTATTACTTCAACTTGGTTCATTATAAAGCCATATGACCTTTTACAAAAGGTTGGGTGACATATGACCTTAAAAAATGACAACCGAAAGTGACCTTGAGAAAACCGGAAGTAGCCAATTGTGCACTTTTTTCGTAAAAAAGTACTCGGAATTCATATATTTTGCTTTTGGAATACATAAACTTATTACTTAAGACTCGAAATGACTTTCGATCAACCGGAAGGCCAATTATCTCCTGATTTTAAGGCAAAAGTATATAGAAAGTATATATTTTTGAAATCAGTGTGAATGAAGCTATCATATGAGACCGGAGGAGACATTTACTATACAATAAGTAGCAAATTATATCCCTTATTTCCCTCAAAAGTATATATAAACCACTTATGTATCGCATCAGTATAAAGTAACTAGCTTCTTTTCAAATTTTCTTTCTTGTGGAAAGACCTTCAATTGTTCTCTGAACAATTGGTTTTTAATTGATGTTTTTTTCCGCCAAATTTTAATATTTGTGTTACATAATATGTCGCTTAGATATTTCTCATATTGTATCGTAGTCTATGCGCTTTTAAATTTCACCCTGCTAAGACGAACAATTTTCTTTGTAAGAATTATCTCCCTATTCACTGTTTATCAAATGTGTGCATCTCCTTCGTAACAAAAAAATATATCGACAAAATTCTTGTAACAAATTGTTCGTTAAATCCTCAGGAATTTTTGGCTAATTTGGATCAAAACGATTCGATGAAATTTTATATAGGTTATCGACCTTTACTCAATAAATTTGTCGGTATGTTTTTTTAACTAATGAACGGTTAACCGTATAACCCTGGAAT